ATAAATTAATACGATTATATATCATTATATTTGTTAACTAACATTAATTAATTGTTTTGGTCAATTTTGAAAATCAGCAAGATTTTTAATCTGATAGCTGATCTTATAGATTCCCACTGAGAATATAATAAAAATCGAAAGCTAACGATTATTTAAAAAATATATTTTTTCTGAAATATGATGAAATGATTGATAGAAAAACCGATCAGAGCGTTAATAATAGTTTCTTTTAATGAAAAGTTGACAGCAGTTTTCAATAAAGTTAAATAACTTCCTTTCAAAAAATGCAATAATTTATATAAAAATGTGCATTAAAAATATGCACTTGCTTAATTAGAGTATTTGAAAATTATTATAAATAATCTAATAGTTAGCTATCAATGAAACAATATTTTTTAATTAACTTTAAATAAAATATTCACAAGCTGTGTTTTTATTGATTTGTCAAATACGGTTATAAATTTACAATCGGGCCGGCCGTGGTTCCGTGGTAAGAACGTGGGCTAGCAAATCCTAGTCCCGGGTTCGAATCCAACCTCGGTCGGTTCGGTATCAAAGCAGCTTGATACCAAATTTTCACTTGAAATCATAGATTTCAAATATGATTTCAAGTGAAAATGGCCTTTCGTGGGCATAGCTGTAGTGGCAACATGCCACTTGGAAGTAAAAAAAGTCATCACTATTACAGCAATTGTAATAATTCAGCACATAGAGATGGGACAACTGTTTGGGTTGCCATCTATAATAATTGTAAGATAATTGATCACAACAGCTCATAGAACTCATAGTTCTGATCGCTGTTAAAAAAATATTAAAAAAAAAAAAAAAATTTACAATCGGCTTATACGATAACTCCACATAAGATTATAACAAAAGGCGCTCAAAGTAATTTAACAATTATTATATCATTGCATTAGCATAGTAATAATTCAGAAATTAAATATTATTCTCTTAATTTCTCAGAGTTTCTTTCAGATAACCGTATTTATATACAAGTCAGTGCTTTATAACATATAACTCCAACGGACAGCGATATCGTGCTTCCAGCCCCAAAGTAGCCTAATCGGGTGCAAGACAAATGATGCCGGCTTTAAAAATAACAAATGAAGCATTCGAGAGATAAGCCATTCCGGTTGCCTAAAATATATAATGAGCTTGGCTTTTCTGTCAAAACTTTAGTGCTTTCAAATTTGTTACGATCGTGACGTCCAAAATTTCATTTGAAAATCTCAGCAATATAAATATCAAACTGATATAGGCTTAGTAAATGGTTTTACTATAACAATCAGTTTAGATTTTTGTAGAAGTATCTAATAAATTTACATATTAACAATGAATAAATTCTTTGCTAAAAAGATTTTCTCATGTTTTGCATTTCGCATTTTTGTCATTATTTATTTGTGATACTTTACTGATACTGCCATATGATTTTATAATATTTTTTTAGTAAAATAAATACTATTCAAAAAGTTCTGATTAATATAGACATATAACTAAATCACGTTACCTTTAAATCACTCGTTATCTTAAAATTTATTGATTTTTGATTTGTTGTTTAGTTTTGCACAACATCTGCTGTTAAAAACAAACAAACAGCGTTCTAGTTTGTATATTAATATTTCAATTTTTTTTTACCTTGTTTTAAGTTGCTACCTAAAAGTAGAGGTGCATGATAGAGGTGCCACAAGGCTTTTGAACTTTCTGTATGTATTTTAAAATTTGTAAAAGTTTTAATAGAAATAATATTATAAATTTTTCAGTCAATTAATACAAGTGAATCTGCTTAATATAGGCTTTAACTTTTGTTTTCTCCATTGTACTTTTGACGTAAAGATGCTTAATATTTACATCATATAGTTATATTGTTTCATTTCCTATAATATATAATATAACTATATAGTATTTTTGAAAAAACAGAAGATTTAAAGATTTAAATCAAAAGTATTTCGAAGTTTATTGCTCTACAAATTAATATAAAATGAATAATAACGCCATCGTCATAAAACAAAATAGGACATATCATATATAAAACTAGTGGGGTGTATGGCATCGTGCATTAAGGCGAATTGCTGAAACTTCCCGTACCGTAACAAAATGTTCGAGGAATACTGAATGTTTTCAAATAGATTATTAATAATAATGTAACATTGTCTAATATTTATAAGAATTATATAAACTGAATTTCAAAGTTAAAATTATTTGTTTAAAGTATATTAGAACTATAGTCAGAATTAAAATTAAAATCTAAATCATTTTCGATATAAAAAAAACGATATTAAAATGTTACAATTTTTTACAACAAGCTGAAAGTTCTTTGAATCATTTAAATTGGACGCTTAGTTCTCTCAAAAACTGCAATTTTTTGCACATTTAGCTCTGTATCTTCGAAATGGCTGGGCCTGCCATTGCCAACAACTAATAATCACTTATCCGCATCATTACTAATTGAATGTTTTTTAGATCATTCCAATCGAATTTTCCGTCCACTCAAAAACTCGATTTCTATTTTCTGCACTCTTTGCTCTGTGTCTCCGTAACGGCTAGACCTGCCTTTGCCAAAAACTAATCAGCTCATCTCCCTATCAATAAGAATCGAATGTTCTTTGAACCATTCAAATCGGTTGATCCGTGCGCTCGAAAACGTGACTGGAAATTTGTATCCATACATACATACACACACACATCCATTTTTCCAAAATTATCAGAAACCTTCAAAACATCGAGAAATGTAAAAATTTTCAATTTCGATTTTCGGCCCATTACAATAACTTACCCTACGAGAAGTTAAAAAGTAGATCTACAATTTTATTAACTAAAATATTATATAGTGAACAGACACATGAATCACTTGCTTTATTTATAGGTCTTAAAATTTAATATCTATGATCTGAAAGCTTGCCGAGTTATATCAGTTATGGAAATGTACTTAATCTTTACAAATTCCCTTGTACAATGCTAATAAAACAATATTGTAAAATCAACATGAGAATATAATGAGATTCGTGACTAAGACAATACCAAAGTCATAAATTGAAAAGCTTGTGAAGTCCTATACAAACCCGACCGCAGAGCAGAGTTTGACCTAAATAATATTTTATGCTCAACTAAATATAAAAATAATTTAAGAAAAATTAATTTAGAACAGATAAAATTTATTTATTTTGGAATTGTTATATTGTTTGCATAATATAATTACATGTACCAGGTACGCCTTTAAATATAAATCTTCAGTTAAAAGAATTTTTTTAGTGCTTATATAAAATTAAATCAACAACGTAGCTCTTTTACAGATATAGTGAAGAATCATTAGAAAATTGCTGCCAATTTCTAGGGTTTTTTTAACTTCGCGTAAGGTGAGTTGTTGTAATTGCAAACAAATCGAGAATGAAAATATTTATATATATTTACGTCTCGAAGGTTTCTGAATATTTTGGCATACATTAGAAAAATTGGATGTTTGTGTGTGTGTGCGGATACAAATTTTCGTCGACGATTTCGGGAACACGGATCATCCGATTTGATGAATTTAAAAAAATCGATTCGTATTGATAAAGAGACGTGCTGATTAGTTTTTGGCTTAGGCAGGTTTAGCCGTTTAGAAGATATGGGGGGAAAAAACCAAGCATGTTAATTCAATTTTCAAGATAACAAAGCGTTCGATTTAAATAATTCAAATAACATTTTATTTGTATTGACTAAACAAAGAAATGTTCAAATTTTTGGAAAGCAGATCCAGGGGTTATGGACACCCAATAATTTTTTTTATTCAAAAAAATGCCATTTGGCGCCTTGCTTTTACAAAGCCAAAAGTAAGTTTTCATCTTCAAACCTAATTATAACAGTTAATTGAATACAAACTTTAATTTTATTCCTATTTTGTTGTAAGTTGAATTTAGTAAGTATAGTTACTTACCAGAAATTAGTTTTTGCTTAGATAATTTAGCTCAGTCGTAATGATGATTTGTTTTTAAAAGCGTGCAAATTCATGTTTTGGATGAAGATTAAACAGATGAAAAAATCTAAATTAACAATGGCAAAATTCAAAATGGTGAATGCAAATTCGTAGTAGGAAAAAAGGTTTACAAAAAATAATGTTAACTTTGTTTAAAAAAATATTTTTTGTTATACCTTGTTATTCATAAGCTTTGTTTGCATGTTTATGCCGTGTTGTGTACCATATTATCACATATTATTGTTATCAATGATAATATGAGTCGTTATGAACCATTTTGGTGTTTATACCGATTGTTTCTAATCTATTTTTATGCCTGTTACTACTGACCCGATGTGGACGATTGTACGACAAGCCCTTTTCTTGTTTTTGATTTTATGACAAGTCATGTTTCAGAGGTCCCGGGTTCGATACCCACTTCGAGCAGCCTGTTGTCAGGTAACATTGACAACGATTTTCACTTGGAAATATAGATAGCAATATGTTTCCTAGTGAAAATAGCCCTCACCTGGCATTGTTGCACCATACTTGCCCTATTACAGAGATTGTAATAAAAATTTATCATACAGAGATGTGACAACTGTTTGGGTTGCCATCTGTAATAAAAACAAACGTAGTTTGTAAGATATTAATCACAACAGTTCATAGAACCCACAAGATCTGATCGCTGTTCAAATAAAATTGAAAAAAAAAAATGACAAGTCCATCGTATTTAAAGACAGTATTTACCTGCAGACAAATGTTCAAATTACCACTTAATCTATTCTTCTAGGTAACTGGTAAATTAATAATATTATGCTCGATCACAAAAAGTGGCACAACTGTGCCCAGTATCCTCTACTATTGTGCGCCCTATTCAGTTTTATGATTTTTTGCGTGGAATACTTGATTATACTTTATTCATTTTTAAAATTAAAATATATTAATATAAACACAGGATATTAAACGTTGCACATAGGGTCAAAGCTTCCGAAATTATTAAATCCTCATATCATATTAAATGCTCCGAATCTATCGGCAAGCGTCTCCGAGCGACGCGAACACAATCATGTTTCTGAAGGAGCGAGATTTACCCGAATCTGGTGTGGGTTTGCGTGGGTGAGGGCGGCACCATCCCCCTGTGATATTACCTGATTAAAGTTTCATATTCAATCTTCAGTTGTATGCCCTCGAGTGCAAAGTGGAAGGAGGCCCGAAAACGCTCCGTAGCGCAGCTCTGCCTCTAATTGCATTTACAGTATTCCTTATGTACGTCGTAGGCGGACAGATTGCGGAATTGAAAACTTAAACGTACGTTAGGCAATAGGAAAAAGTGATTGTATAGAAAAATTGCTAGAGCAGTAATTGATTTTATATCGTTGTTTGAATAAATATTGTAATAAGGTTTTTAATTTTGTGCACTTATGTGTTTCGTATTACCAACAAAACAGACTAAAGAAGATAAAAAGTTCCACCACTGACACCTCAAAAACAAATATAGTTAATGATTTTTTAACAACAATATTTAAAATTAGAGGGAAAAAGATGTATAACCATCCATCGCATTGTTTCTTAACAAGTTATTATCATGAGATAAGTGGCAATGTTTGAATATCCATAACATTATAAGTGTTTGCTTTCGCGGTTTTTTGGTTTTGCGCACTCTTGTTCAGTTTATAAGAATTTATATAATTTTGAAATATAGGTAGATTGTTTAGTTATTTTATAAGACGTATTGTTAACTTTATGTTATCTTCTATATATATATATATAAATAAGTCGGGTTTTCCTTCCTGACGAAATAACTCCAGAACGCACGAACCGATTTCGACAATTTTGCATTCGTTGAAAAGGTCTCGGGCTCCGCAAGGTTTATAGCTAAGAAAATTAAATAAAATATACCCTTAAAATTTATATTTTGTATTGATTGAATAATGTATCCATTATTCCCTAAATTTATTTTAAAATTGGTTCTATTTGCGCCTTGAGCGTCCAATTTTACCAATTCTATCGAGTAAAAAGGACCAAATAAAAATTTATGAAAAACAGCAAAAAACACTTTTAAACAATCACGATTTAGCAGAAAGTTATACTGAACATAGTCAGATAGATTGTTGTGATATACATATTTTGTTTGGTTTCTACAATGTAATTTCTTAAAGTCAAATTGGATTTTTTGGATTCATATAAGCGCAAACTGGACTCACATTTGAATCCTTCTATAGTTGACGTTACTCAACCTTTTGGCATTAGGAGGTTGAAACGACAATGGCCCCTAGACTTAGTCTTAGATTAGGTCTAATATATCATACTAATTGTAAAACTGAGAAGTTCTCATTGGAGTTCTTCTTAGGCATCACTCATAAATTTTGTCATTTTAGCTCATAGGAATCTTTATGTATTTCTGATTGCTAAATAAAACTGAGTTCAAAAAAAAAAAAAAAAAAAAAATTGGATTTTTATGCTCCGCCCTACCCCATCACAAATACTAGAGCTTGTTTTTTTATTTAGTTTTTTTTTTTACATTTTAGTAGTGTTTAAATACGTTTATCACAATAAATGACCTAAGCCAAGTTTGTGAAATGGCAAAAAGAAAATTGGTTTAAATTGTTTTCAAAATTTTGAATCGATTTACAAAATTTTGAATATGAGATAATTATTTTCTACCAAGTTGTAACGTAACATCAATATAATAATAAAATTTTTGATTCCTTGTGCTTATGAATTAAATATTGCCAATATAACAAAATACAAAAATTTAATATTTTACATTTTACGATTGATTATTAATAATTAATTTTATGATTTTAGACAAAATTTATGGAGTATTAACAGAAATAAATATGTTATTTATTTTTAAGATTTTCAGGTGTATTAAACAATTGTACATTATATTCATAAAGTGATTATTTATGTTTTGGGACATTATCCGATTATTTTTCCTACCCACTGTTGTAAAGAATTGAGAACCTATATCAATATTGATTTATAATTGATATAAATAATATTTAATAAATGATTAAAATAATAAATATTCTATATTTGTTTGATTTAGTTAAATACTATCCTTATACATGACTGGTACTTGTATAAAGCATTATGTTTAAAAAAAGAAATTTTACAAATGTGTTTTCACTGTTAAATTAATTAGTATATCAAAAATGCCTTAAAATCCAAAGTTGAGTTCACAAGGATTTTATAGTGTCTAACATTCATAATAGTGCATATGGTAATAAAGCAAATATTATTCAATCAAGAAATTGAGAAAGATAATCAATTCGATATAAAAATTTTAACATACAAATAAATTTAATTATCAAATGCAATCCAATATACATATATAAATCAATTATATTTGAAGTCATTAAATAAATTGAATCATAAACGAGTGTCTCTATTTGATATTTTCATTACCCAAATTATTCCCAAAGCAGATTATTTATCAAATATTTACCATAATATATTACATAATACCTTTCCAAAGAGCTTTAAAGTCTACAAGCTCACTATTAAATATATAATTATTGAAGGATTAAGGTACTGATTTGATAACTTGTATAACCATTAATAATTAATACAGGATTATAAACCTCTACATGGAAATAATTAATTATTCATAACGTTGTTACCTTAACCTAATAATTTCGATAACCTAATTTCGACAAAACTACGTTGTGATGCTACAAGTTAATAATTATCTCTAGAATATATTCGAAACATATTTATCGTTTATATTTTCCGAAAACTTTTAGCCCAAACGCACGTGCAATATTTTTATTGTCATGGCTCGTAAAATATCATGTCACTCCGAAGATATGATTGCTTTCGGCAGTTTTGCCATGAAACAGACTGCAATTTTGTAAAAAAACTTTTTTACCTATTCCAAATTATGTGGAAGACATATTCTATTAAGTATGAGAAATATCAAATTTATTTTTAGCAAAGTGAGTTAAAGTCGCAATACTTTAAGATTATAAAAATTAAGTTTACTAAAAACTCATTTAAATATTTAGTAAAAAAACTTAGTTTTGATTTTAGGATACATAATGTTCTTTATACAATTATCTACATTAAAAAACAACTGTCAGCAATTAATTACTGATTTTAGAAATATTAATATATCTACTCAAAAAAGAACAAATGTTTGGTAAGCTCGCCAGAGAATTCATACACTAAAAGATCAAATTTTTCAATATATAGGCGATCAAATCAATAAGCTATTTCAAAAATTAATTTCTGTTGAAATATATATGCCAACAAATATCTATTATATCTAATTTAGGACAGATAGTCAGCCAATTATTAAAAATGCATATAGTGGGAGACATAGTGCAGTTTTGCCACTTTTTTTATCAGCAAATTTTTTGTTAATTTACCAGTTAGCTGGAAGAAAAGAATATTAAATGGTAAATTAAAGATTTGTCTACGTAAAGATACTGAAAAACTGCCTTCAAATGCAATATGTTAGTCATAATATCAAAGCATAAAAAAGGGCATGAAAATAAGTATAAACAACAAAATAGTTTAAAATGACCTATATTGTTAGAAATATGTGATACAACACAATATAATCATTGAAACAATGCTTGTAAATGTCATATGACAATATATAACGAAATTATATATTTATATGCAACAATTTTGTTTTAAACAAAGTTAACAAGAAATTTCGTACAATCTGTTTTTTTTTTTAATTTTTCTTTCCCTTTCTCTTTTGTATTTTTTAACTTTCCGTACGGCAAGTTACAGTAATCGCAAAAAAATCGAAAATTAAAATTTTTATATATCTTTACGTTTCAGAGGTTTCTGAACATTTTGGCATACCTTAGAAAAGATGGATGTATGTGTGTGTATGTATGTGTGTGTGCGTGTATGTATATATGTTCGGATACAAATTTTAGTCGACGATTTCGGGAACACGGATTAAGCGATTTGAATAATTCAAAAAACATTCGATTTGTATTGACTAAATGAAGAACTGTTCAAATTTTTGGAAGGGCAGGTCCAATGACTTTAGAGATATGGAGGAAAAAGTAAAAAAATGAGCCATTTCATGGTCAAAAATGAACATTAGACATATGCACATCAAATTATCAGATATTTTATAGAGATTTTAAGTATAAATTTTTTAAGTATAAATTTTGTTTACATTTCTATGGGTTCCGTACCAATGTTTACGCATTAGACGGCGACGCGGCGCTTACGCGCTTTGATATTTTGTCTTTATGTAGTTGAAGCAGTACGATTGCTTTGAAAAAAAGTTCAGAATTTCCAAAATATTTCAAAATAAATGATTTAAGATAGAATGATGTAATATGGTTCGAAATTCTATTAGAAGTTTCAAATCATTGATCAACTTTTATTGATTATTATTATTGATTATTTTTAATTACTCGAATTTTGAATTGCGGTACGGGAAGTTCCAGCAATTTGCCTTAAGGCACGATGCCCTAATTGCCTTAAGACAGAATTCCACTTATAGCTAGTTTTTTATTTAAATTAGATTTTTATTTATATGTTCATCTCCATACGGAATGGACAAAACCCACAGCCACATGTCACAACAGTATTTAAATCACACATTTGAAAACAAAAGTAAAGTCTGCAAAAAAAGTAATTATTGGTAATTAATTACTAATGTTCTACTCATGGAAAAATAAGTTATCTATCTTCTTTATACAAATAACATTATTTAATAAAAGAAATCGAACAAAGAAACTTTTTTTCACTTTTTAAAAGCAGTGCGTTCTAGAGGTTTTATTAATATGAGCGCTGACGCAAAGCAATAATGGAAACTTGTTCGAGCGAACATACTTCATATTTCTCTCTTTAGACGCTATCTGAAAATCAGTATAGTTTAGCTGTTATGTCGTCTGTCACTACCGTATCGAGATGTAGCTGTACCTAGTCTCGTCTATTAAAACACTTATTTTATTGTGTATTTATGGCAAATGATAATATGCCAGATCCAATAATTCATCAAAAAATTAAAAGATTTATCATAAGAAATAGTTTGAATATTATATCTGTTTTTTCTTTGTGTACCCTATTTCGAAAAAAATGACTTTACGTAATTAATCATTTCAATATCACATATGATTAATTATACTATTTTATCATGAGATCCTGGTTATCGAATTATGCATGATAACAAAAGACGGGCACGTGTAAAGCATATTTTATGAATATTTTAGAATTGACACAATAAAGCATAATTACCTCTATATTGTTTACTACCCTATTCAGCGTGCGTCGGGGTTCAAGACACCCCGTGAACATTATTCCGGGCATAGTACAAATATGACGCATTTCGTATTCACCGCACATACGGACATTACGCC